CTAAACTGAAAATTTTAACTAAGTACTACTACTGAGGAGAATTTTACCAATTTTCAGTGGAAAATGCCTATGATAAGGACCACGTTCTTTTATATTTAAATAATTTATTTCTAACCTGCTACAGCTAACCCTACCGGTTTAGCTTCGGCGACCGAAGCTTCCTCCGAGGGTAAATTGATGGCAATTTCGTCTGAATCTTCATTCTGATTCTGTTCTTTATTCTTTTCTCCTTCAAGTCTGTCTTCTTTATTATTCTGTTCTTCCTCCTTACGTTTTTCATCTTCTTTCTTCTTTTGTTCCTTCTTGTTGTCGTCTTTAATTTTGTTGGGTTCTTTCTTGTCCTTTTTTCTGCTCAACCAGTCCGAAACATCAGTTTTCGACTCCATGGGAGATATTAGCTTATCTTTTTGTTGAAGTTGGGCAAATTTTGAAGCAGTTTCGCTCAAAAGGGCAATTCCCCTGTTAAACTCCGTCTGTTCTTCTTCACTTAAAGGACTGTCGTTTTTTGATTTGTCTTGCAATTGAATTAAACGATCGGCAGTGAGTTTCACTGTCCTTATATTTGTTTCAGGTTCGTCGAAATCATCTTCGTACCTATTGGGAATTGAAGGATATTCCACGTCCTCGGGATGCGCAGTTGTTTCTTCCCTTGGACGTTCCGTGGTGGGTGGAGACTTGATTATATTCATTATTACTTTACCGTCTGGTAGTTGAATTATTTCTAAACTTTGCCCCTTAGCACCGCCATAGAAGGGAAGCAGTGTTGTCTTCGAAGGTTTTATACTTAAAAAAAAATCATTAAATACAGTGAGTAAACCATAATCAACACAAAGCGAAATGTTCATCAATTTTGCAGACGTACCTATGCATACATGTTTCGTAATTTTTGGTTGATATTCATTGCAACCTTTATTTCGCCACATTACCAACAAATTGCCACAGGTGACTGATTTTACAGAAATGTATGTAGTTACGTGGTATTAATAAATATTCACGATATGCAGTGAAAATTTTAAATAAAAAAAAAAAATACACTTTACGTTTCATCTTAATTAAAGATTAGTAAGAGTGAAGATAATACAGAGTACTTATACAAGAAAGAAATACTGCAGTCGTTAGCCTAATTTGAAATAAATTAACTGAAGGAATAAATGCATGCAGAGAGTCAGTCGATTGCCGAAGAAGGCAAGCTATAAACTGTTTAACTAATTAATTATAAAATGGTCTAGTAGTTTCTTCCAAAAAAATTTATCTACAATATTGAATGGACGACAATAAATTAAGAATTAAAAATGTTCTTTTTCATTTTTTATACCCATCAGGTATTTAAATGTTTCGTAAAATTTTCATCATCATTTTCGTAGCTTATTTCCAAGTCACTTTGCGCATGGGCTATGCCCCCGGGCCCAACGATGGCAAAAGCTTCAGGTTCAAAAAGAATGTCGACATCTGTCCCTTTTCGTAAAACAGCCCTTGACAAGGGGTTTGCTACAGCTTTCCCATCCTGAGCCGCAACGGCTCTAGCTATGGGTTTTAAAATTAAAGTGGCAACGTCGTTACTTCCATCCGTATTTCTAAAACTGATAATTCTGTTCAGTTGTATAGTGTGTCCATTTTTCAAAAATTGAAACAGGGGATTGCTTTTGTAAGTCACCACGTCTTGGTTACGATCTCCATCTCCGTTTTTTAGGAGGTTGGCCTTTGAAAAATCGTTCAAATAAACTGCTTGAAATGGTGATGATATTACCGAGTCATTTCGTAAGATTTTATCGTCTACTTTTTTCAATTCTACTCTTTGTTCAGACAATGAACTGTGGTTCGAAATAAAGCGAGCAGGCGGTAAATTAGTGAGACTTGTTAGGAAGTTGAAAGGGTCTGCAAATCTACAGATAAAAGAAAAAACTGATGTTAATGAAAATGAAATAAAAGCCACAACTGTACATCACCTTCTTTTTTTTTTTAAGTATTTATTATAAACTACGTTAATAATGAAATACGAAAAAGGCTGGGTTTTGTAAAAATAATTTTATTTGTACCACTTCGGATCGCTCATAGTAAAACATTCTATTAATTAACTATCTCAACTATCTATCAACAATAAATTAATGGTCTTTTAAGAGCGGAATAATATACACATGTATTAGGTACAAAGATCTTTCGTTAGAAGGATCTTCGATAAGAAGAACGCGCACCGTAATAAAGAAATAAAATAAGTGATCAACAATTTATGTATGTACTTATATTATGAAACGAAGTTTCTTAATTATTAGGTGTTAACCCCTGTTGTAGTATATGACCGGACCAGTTGCGACGACCTTACCGACCCTCGGTACGAATTCGTTTTCCGTCGACCTGTTCATTTTTTGCAGGGTATTAATCAAATCGGTTAAATTTATTCCAGCATCGACTGCCACAACTTTCGATCCAGCTCCAGCAATAGCCACACTGTCGGGTTGAGTGTAAGCCACACCGCTGGGTCCTACGATTGCAGTTCCACCACTACCAGCAGTCGCTATACCACCTGGTCCTGCTATAGCAACTCCACCTTTCCTCACCTTAAGCCTTTGGATAAAAATACCATTTCCAGTATTATCTCTGCTCCAGAATTTTTTCTTGTCGCCGCCGATTTGGTTGTGGACGTCTTTGGTGGAATTGCCTCCACCGTTCCCGAATTTTTGACCGTTTGGTGAGAAATTGGGTGGTTTATTTATCGAAGGCAGTTTTATGCCCAAAATTTTTGACGATTCTGTTGCTTCCGGCGTTTTGTAACGTCTTCTCGAGTCTCGTTTATCTTCCATTACGCCGAGAGCAGTGCTCGTAGGAGAATGGGTTGACCTTTTTGACTCTGTTATTATTTTGGTGTTTTCCCTTCCTTCAACTTCTTCGTATTCATATTCAAATTGTTCATGTTGCTTTCCGTCATCTTCTTGGGAATTATCATTGATTGGAATGATGACCATGGGCGAGTTTGCAGGTCCGCCGTTCCCGACACTTGTCGTTCTTTGGTCGAGTTTTGCTTCTTCTGTTGCTGGATTAATACTGGGAATGACAAACTCGTTACCTCGTTTAAAAATGGGGTAATTTTGACCACGAACTTTGGCTACAATGTCTTTTATTTGAGTTACCGTTCTCTGCAACATTTCAAAGTCAGTTTTGTCATCATTTACGAAACTGACAGAGCGATGATTCGGAACAAGAGGAAGAACGGGAAACAAGAAATACTGGGAATGCGGGTTTTCAATCTTTCTCTCTTTCGAATTTTTGTTGCTATTGTTGTTATCAACGCCAACAATTTTGGCAAGACCTTTCAATCCCGACTGGAAGAGGTCTGCTGTAGTAACAGGCCCTTTCTGTTCAGATTTGGAAAATATACCGTAATACAACTTCCTCTGCGGCTTATTCTTGTTTTGCACGTAGCCCAAATTCTTGTTCACTTGGTCTATTTTTGCCATTATTTCTTTTGTCTTGCGTTCATGATCTTTGTCTTCGTTCGTAGCAGACGTGGACATTTTCGAAAATAGCTGCAATTCTATGACCCGTTGCTTCTCGATTCTGAAAAATGAATTAATAATTGCAGTTTTGTTTTTACAATTCAAGCAGTTTTTACTAAAAGGGCCAGAACTTACCCAAAAAATTACGCAGCTTCTTGACTCTTATCTTCTAAAGCAGATTCCCCAAACACTAACACAAAGAAAACACACACTGGCGTGTACATATATTGTAATATGTACATGTATAATGCACGAATTTCTGTCAATTTAGCTAATGAAAGTTAAAATAAATATGGGACCTACATAATTGTGTTAAGAGAGGAACTGTTACTATAATGTTTGATTTTTCTCATATTATTTGTTTTGTTTTGCCTATAATTTTAAGGGTAAGTTTGATTGTACTATTTAATATTTCAAGTCAAANGACTTAATTCGAAAATTTTAAAAGGACCGAGAAAATCATTTTCAAATCCCTCGAAATTTGGAAACAGCGTTTGACCGTTTAGGAAAAAGAATCTTTCGCCAGGTTTCAAACTGGACGTGACCGGTGTGTGATGTCTTTTACCAGCATTATCCAATACCTCAGCTTCGGTGGCAACTTTTTTCTCTTCGGCGTCGAAAGTTTCCAGTTTTTCAGGTTTCTTGTTTTTGGGATTTGGTTGATGGACACCAATTTGATCAGTGGGGATTTCTTCGGCGTCTTTTTCGACCGGTGGCGCATTGGCTGGTCGGGGATAACTATTCGGAGGAAAGAAATGAGGTATATCTTGGAGGATAATATCGGTACCCGGATGCGGTTGGGGAATTAGAAAATTATTAGGTGGGGTGGCAGGTCGAAGAAGAAATTGTTGACCGGGAGCGAAATTTCCGGGATACAGGAACACTTGCGGTTGTATTCTAAAATATTGGAATGCAATTTTACAAAATTAGATTAAACTTATGTGTGTATTGTACGTAAATGAAGAAAAATGCACAGTGTATAATTTAATAAAAAAACAAATGTAAGTAATATTTGTAAGTGTTTGATGCGACGCGACGACATACTTTCTATTTTTGCACATTTGTATTATGCAAGTGCATATTATGCAGATGTTGGTCGAGCATCCACATTTTTTTACGATCCGTTTTATTCAGGATGCGTAGTTGTACCGCATGTGCGTGTCAATTTTAATAATAAGACTGTTTTAGTATCGACCTCAGAACATTTTTTTTTTTTAAGGTCTTGCACCTTGAAAATTTCGCAATTAAAAATTCGTTGTTATTAAAATACGTGAATAAAATAATAATAAGTTTATATACGGAATATTTCGTTAGCAAACGCCCAGCATTTACGACACATGACAGACTTTTCCCCTTTTGTTCTGTTTACCCAGCTTCGGATTTACGCATGCAACGATTGAATTGCACAATTTCCTTCGTTTGTTTCTGGGTTAAACACCTAGACGCCGATATTTGTATTATGTACCCATATAGGTATATCCTCATAATAAGTACTTATAATAATCATCGGAAACATAGGTACCTATAATAGCATATTGATTGATGCCAAAATAATATAATATACATGTATTTGTAAATATGGTGATGGATAATGAAAGAAATGTTGTTTATATATATATATATATATTACAATCTA